ACTAGTTTTTTTACAATATATTTACGTTTATAATTAAATGTACATATATTATGTATATGCAGTTGCAAGATGTTGTTTTCTACAGCGATTTCGCGTGCAATTCTTAAAACGTTGCCACGTAATGTACAAATTGCTTATATATTTGGTTCTCTAATGAATTAGTAGTTTGTCCTATGGCCGCTGTAGCTACCGTTTTCTGAAAGCAGCACCAATCGAGTAAACGTGGCGCACTGATTATGTATGTTCTAACCTGTTCAATTTTTTGCCAACCCCAGCAATTCGTCATCAAGCATCTCACTTCTGAGAAGGGAAAGAAGTTGAATGGCACTCGCTGTTATGTGCTGGGCATGGATGCGATCACTCCCACCGACTTCATGGACAAACGCCTGCACGTCAAGTCGCTTTCTTCTCAGGATAGTACGCTCATAAAATTGAAGTACAGTAATCTGCTCGAGCCCAAACTGCACAGCGAAGGACAATCATTTTGCTCGCTGAGCGATTATGAGATCACAACCTGCTTGTGGAAAACCTTAAGAACTCAAAAAGAGCTGGTAATAACCTTTGTTGTGTATCAACGTGCTATACCAGCGTTGGCTTCGATGCACTCTCTTGATTGGCATCATTTGTACTTAACTTCGTACCTGCGTAAGTTTTTGGTGCACATTGTGCTTTAACACTTCCGAACCGCACTCGCGCAAGGCAATTTTTGTATGTGTATATTCTTAGGCGTTCCGATTTGATGAGTAGATTCCTATGGGTGTTTGCCCACTCACGTATGGACGCTATATCGCAAACACATAACGACTCCGTAGTTGCCAGAATGTCTTATCTACTCGGCTGCACATGGTATACACAACGGGACATTGGGTTTTGCTAAACGCTCTCACCTTCATTCCTCTTTTTTTTTTGCCGATGGCACCTGGTATCCGATGAGACATGCTTTTTGCTACGCGCTCACACCTTTATTTCTCGTTTTCTTTTTGCAGATGGAACCTGGTATCCGACGAGTCATGCAGAGACGGTACAAATACATCCGCACTAACCTCCACCAGGGGAAAGTCCCCGCGCCCACCAAATGCATGAGTCTGTTCATAGATGAGAAGGATAAATCGGTCGAAGAACACCTATTCACCGAGCTTCAGCCGACGTGCACGGGTGATACGGTGGTGGACTTTCACAGATTTGCGGACGGTCTCACTGGCAATGGCGACATGTGCGATGTGTGCTTTGACGAACTGACCGTTGGATGTGAGATCTTCGCCATGCCGTGCCGCCACTTTGTGCACAAGCGATGCGGCATGGCGTGGTTCACTATACCGGGTAACGAACGCATCTGCCCGTGTTGCCGGCAGAAGACACCGGTGAGGTACAAGTCCTACCTGCGATATTCCCACGTGTTCCTGCAGAAGCGCATGGACGAGTGGGTGGTGAGTGGCATGTGTGAGCGATGCCAGCAATGCTATCACGAGGCTTCGCCGATGGTGGCGATAACGGGTCCGGATGGCACAGCTGAAATGGTCTCACAGGCTGAACTCGAGGCGTACGGAATGAGTGTCTGACGAGATTAGGCCGCGCATTGGCTTGCAGACCCATACCCGACCGCTTGCTGTGAATCGAATCAGTTTATCTGGACGAAATTGCCGTCGGAACTTTGCGTTCGCCTTTGTTTACGGAGCTTCCCGTGGCACACCTGTGGTTTATCCTGTCACACTCGATGTGCCGCAACGAGATATGCAGGACAAGATGACATCCACTCTTGGACATGCGCGCATATATTAAGCATATATTTTATACTGAGATATCTTGCTGGTCTCCTGTACTCGCTCATCTCCAAGCGAGTCGGCAGCACCCCAATTCTGCCTGGTATATGTCCTTATTGAAACACGTGTGGGCCGTCTTTGAGTCTCTTTTTTAGGGCTGGGATGTTGTGAGCATGCGTATAGGATTGTAAGATAACGTATGGACGCTCTGTTTGTATTCAAATAGAGGTCCCCTACTGATTACGCCGCAAGCTTACATCATAATGCTGGGATGTTGTGAGCATGCGTATAGGTTTGTAGGATAACGTATGGACGCTCTGTTTGTATTCAAATAGAGGTCCCCTACTGATTACGCCGCAAGCTTACATCACAATGCATATGGTACACGATCAATTTGATAATCTGGCAAACTCCGATCGAAGCCCTTCTGTACTACAATAGATGTCATATGACAGATTTTGAGAGTGCGAGAAGCAGCGCATGGGTTTGGACAGTTTTAAAATTCTGCCGATATGTATCGTATCCCAGGTAGCAGAGGTGCACAAAATCGTGATATACGCACGACATGTGGACATGTATGTACAAATATATAATAAAATTAGATATCAAATACCAGCTCCGCGCACTTTTTCTTGCCATTCGGATCTGAGGTATCAGCCCTGCTTGGAAAGCTTAACCAAGTCAGCATTCGGGTTCGGCACAATGATCTGGTATTCAAACTCTCCTGTGGTGTCAGTACGTACACTCCACGACACAACGGCTAAGCACGCTTAATGTATTCGTGCTTCGATTTATAGGCCACCCTAGTTGGTCCCTGAACACTATGCCAGTTTCATGGAATTCGAAATTAACAGTGGCTAAATTCCGAGGCTTCCCATGAGCAGTGGATCCCAATACAGGCGAATATAGCCGCCAATATATAAAATATACTGCGTAACTAGTCTTCACAAGACCCTTTGCATGTCATACGATTCGAATCTATCCTCAGACGAAAAGACAAGCAGTATATTGGTCGCCCCATGGTCGCTTGAGCGGAATATCCTACTCTAATGTGAAATGTTTCTAAGAAGGGCAGACTTTCGAAGTTTGTTTTGGGTATGTCTCTGTTCCATACCCCGAGACCAGGTAAGTGAAAGTGTGCCATCCGGGCAAAAGAAATGGGGATCGCTTGCCCTCGTTCGCAGGATCGACTGCTTAGACGCAATCCTCTTCAGGATTCTGGTGACAAGCAAGACAGCCAATCAAACAGTACCAGTTGTGCTACGCTCTATTGGAGTCGCACCTCAGGTGTGGTCCAACAACACCGTGTACCAGCAATCATCAAAATGACAGACATATCGACTTGTCCCTACCATACGGTAAAAGAGTCTCGTGCGCCTAATTGTCGAGTTTTTATTGAATGGTGTAGCGGTGAGAGGACCCTGCAAGCACTAACTTTGATAGCAGATGATTCCCATCCAAACATGTACTACAAGCCCGCATGTAAAAGTGTTTTGCATATTACACGAGTCGTACTCACAATCGGATATGCTTATTTTAACAACTAATATCAGTAGATGGATCACGCAGTGCGTAGCCGCATATACCCCAATTATACCCATACAAATGGGAACAACTGCGCACACGCACACAGGGTGGGCCGAGCTAGAAATCAGGCTCGTCATCGTCACCTTCCACATATTCGATAATCTCCTTCTCCTGTAAGTAATACCAGCATGCGTAGTTGTGAGCGGCGTTATAAACGGCTAGGCCCATTGTGAAACACTGAGAGGCAAAGTCATGGGCAAGTGACAAGATGCAGCTCAAATTACTCTCGCGAATATCCCGCACACACTGTCACTGCGATAACACATGACACAGATGTGACGCAGCTCACGCAGGACAACAAAGCGTCCCCTGACAACACGAGACAGAACCGCACGCCCACCGTCAAAACGTTCGTAATGCGTACACGAGTGTAACCTGTACGACCAAATATTCAGTGAAATCGTGGTCTCGATCTCTTTGAAATATACGTGATCTAATAAAATACGGCAAATGTATTCTGTGGGGTGTGTGTAATCCTACCTGCTGATCACGCAGACGCCTCTCCTCCGCACTCTCCAACTCTTTCCGATAGTCATTGGGGGGAAATCGCATCGCTTTCACCGTGTCATTGTACATATTCATGAACAACTGAACCCTCTGATCAAATTGCACCTGTAAACGAGGCGTTTATAATTTAAAAGATATTATCAGCAACCGACAGTATCCACCAGTGTCAATGATCTCTAAGAATGCACTGCTTAGCTTGCCTGCTCTTATTTTAAAAATGACTATGCGGATACTCCGAAGTTCATCGAGCATGTAGCAGCGCCAAGGGAATATGTAACAATAGGGGCAAATGCTACATGGACTGAGCGTGAGTGTTCTGAGTGAAACAGCAGCCTCGTATGTGTACTTATTGGTACTTGTGCGTGCTTCGTTCGCCTATGTCGTAACAAACTACTGATAGCGAACGCATGAATCAAAAACAAGCAAAAATTAAGCTGTGATGCATAATGATCTACTCCCACAATGCATCTCGAATGAGAATTGAGCACAACACATGTTAAATTGACATAGGTACACGCAAACGAACAAGCAGACACACAAACACAACCAATAGTGGTATATATACACACAAGCATATTGATGCATGCATGCGTACATGCATTCGTATATGCCCATAATCGTATGACATAATTGATACTCGCAGGTTTTCGCACAAACATACATACGTTTTACACACAGGCAGAAAAACGAACATACATACGATAATGTATACAAATGTGTTCACACATAGCTACCTACAAACATACATACATTCATGCACGCCCAAATTTATATAAGGAGCACATATTCATATATATACATATTAATTCAAGCACTGTTTAATACTTACCAATACATGTACATGCACGCGGATACATTATATATATATATACATATACATATACATACACACACACATATATATATATATATATATATATATGTATGTATGTATGTCTGCATGTATGTTCGTTTGCTTGCTTGCTTGTATATATATATATATATATATATATTGCATCGTGATGAGATTGCTACCTACCTGGGGTTCGTTGGTAGAGTAGGTATCCACAGCATCCTTAGTTCTTACATCACCGCCCTCATGGTCAATTGTGGCATTGACTACGCCATCTCGAATAGCCTGAAAAGCAATAACATGTCACATGATGGTAAACATTGTGATGCAACAAAGTGCGCTTGGATGCAAACAAGGTTTTCATATGTCATCTTGCGACAATTTCATCTCATCTTGATCACGAATCATACGAGGAACAGATCAGAAAAGTACATGGACTTGGAACGAACCTTGGCCATGATGTACTCAGCATCTTCGGTGCTATCCAGGTGAAGCTTGGAGCATATATCCGTCAATGAGATGGCAGAATAGGACTGACAAATTCGCCTCACGCCAGTCTTTAAGACGTTGTGTCGCAATCTGAGAGAGATAATTAGCAAAGATAGCCTTCAGAATTTAGTATTCCGATACATAGCAACCCGTCCCAGCCTCCGTATAGAGCATCGCTAATTAACCGGTGTCCCCACACCCAGCTCGCTCTTTTCATTCCTCTATCACGAATGTTCAAAAGTTTCATTTAACGTATGACGTCTAGTCTATGTCCCGTACGCTATACACTTGTAACTCATACATGCAATACGACTACTGAAGTATATGGTGAGTAGTGAGCAGTTTGTACTGCGGTGAAAATAAAAAAACGAGAGAATGCAAGGAGTGCCGCAAACGTACCGCAGGATGAGTGTGTACGTGTTATCGGCTTGGAATTTCTCGATATTAGCATCCACTGTTTCGTTGAAAAGAACAAGGTCTCCGCGATGAACAGCCTGCATTGCCCAGATATAAACAACAACATATAACTTATTATTAGCCGCTGTAGGTGATAGCCGAGTTCATAACAACATTTGATACTATTCGTAACAAATGAATCATGTATAACACCCCCTGACAATTGTCGATGTGCATGAGCTCGCCTCTATCAGGCTGCACTCTAAAGCGGCGGAATCACGTGCAATAAGCCTTGCGCTCGAAATGAGATATCAGAGGATAACAAACTATTACGCTACGACGCCACTTAAGCCAACTGCTCGATCGTCTCCGTCATCCAGAATATCATGCACGTATATTTATTGTATACGAAAGCTGAGTCCCTGACAAGCTGGTTCACAAATAACTTTCACGAGACAGCCGACCTACAGTACATACCAGACTCAGGGTTTTGTATGGGGCTAAGGCTTGCAACAGCATCGGTTGTCTGAAAATCGCACGCTCGGGAATATCACCCAAGAGCAGTTGAACAATGATGCAGAACTTGTGTGCGGTCTACAGGCATCATGGAGGTAAGGCAAATGAGAGTACCAAATCGGGTGAGTTGAGCGTTTGGGAAATTTAAAGAGGATTGCAAGAGGTAAGACTATCCAGCTCCGTGTGCATACCAGGTATTAAATTAAATGACGCTGATGGTGCACCTTACCTGTTGGAAACCTGCGGCCGATTTTTGAGGTGCCTTGCGTACAGCGCCAATCAAGTATTTGTGTGCCTCCTCGTACTGTAGTGGTATTTGGGAGAACATGGATGTGGAATGAACAGTCAGGGGACTGTATGGAACAGATGCTGCGAGAGTTTACTTATGTGTGCACACATGAAAAACGTGAACGGACATACATATCTAGCATGGAAATACGACCATAGAGTAAGCAAACAGAATGTAAATCACCAAAATCTAACGGGTGTACACGTGCAAATAGATAAAGACATAACTGGAAGACAAAATATTATGTTTATTGATACGTACACCAAGATTAGAATATCCAAAAAAAATACTATTCTTCAATAGAACAGACAGATTCTTGTAAATATACAAATACATAAACGCGTACAAATACGTACATATATATATATATATATGTATATACATATACACATATACATATACATATACATATACATATACATATACATATACATATACATATACATATACATATACATACAAACATACATGCATAATAGAAACATACTTCTATATACACACACACACATATATATATTAATATATATATATATATAATTAACATATATATATAGATATATTAATATATATATATATATAACTAAATATATATATAGTATATTAA